TGTTTTAATGCAATTGAAATATAATCAAATATTAATCAGATAAAAATTTCAATTAATTTATTTAGTGAAATTAGACTACACATAAAGTATGAGCGAAATAATTTTATCATAAAATCGTATTGATGATAGCACATTTAAGATAAGAAATATTGTCATTTGTACTGCGCCTTAAATATAAATAGCAATATTTATGTTTTTTTTTTTATTAATAATAATATCGTTTATTTTCTCACCAAAACCAAAATGCATACAATGAAATTACGATTACGCTATAACATTTGACAATTTCGGTAGTGGATAGCTGGTGCCTGAGGTAGGTATAAAAACCTGTGTTACAGAACACCAGGTCCCTCGACTCGGACCTCGTTTTGACATTTCAAAATACCTTTGTGAGGTGGTTACAATATAGTTGTGCAAGAGTACAAAATTTAAGTAAAAAGAAAAAGAAACGAGCGGGAGTAGTAATAATTGTAACATTAACAAACACAGGGTGTGTGTGTGTGTGTGTGTGTGTGTGTGTGTGTGTGTTTATGTATGTTTGTGTTTGTAGTGAGATTGGAGTTGTGAAGGAGTATATGCACTATGTCTGCAAGCCCTACGACATGGTCTTGGGATCGGATCAGTCATATGACATATCCACTAGACTTACATATGTGCGCACACCAGTTTCTTTAAGATTTATGTACAATGCATGTGTTAGTGTTTGATATGGAATGGATGCGCCAGTGTGTCACTGTAAGATCATTAATAGGTCCTCCGTCTCTTTATATGATTGCTTTAAGAGCCATTCTGAGATGATGGCTTTACATTGCTACGTATTAAGACTATGTAGGGACAACATTTTGTGCAACTTTTTATACAAGTAGGGCCCTAGAAAAATAAAGAAACTACGGCTAAATGAACTTTTAACATGCAATGATACGACCTCCAAACGATTGTTATATGTATATATGTATTAATGTTATATGCATAGGCATTTTTCCTTGAATATTTAACTCATTTGGTCAATTGCCTATGTGGTCAATTCAAGTGCCAATTGTTCAATCCAGGGCTATAACACCCCGGGGCCAGTTTCCGAAATTGTGGAGGACGGGGAAACTGGTCCTCATCCGAAAGGAGGGGCGCCCGGCGGACTCACCGTCCGCCTACCGGCCCATAGTGTTGCTTGACGAGGTGTGCAAGCTCTTTGAAAGAGTGATTGCAAGGCGCCTCGTCAAGCATCTCGTGATGGTTGGGCCGGATCTGGCGGACAACCAGTACGGTTTCCGTCAGGGGCGCTCCACCGTGGATGCGATCATGCGCGTGAAGGCTCTGACGGAGGAAGCAGTCTCCCGGGGCGAAGTGGTGTTGGCGGTGTCCTTGGACATCGCCAACGCGTTCAACACTATGCCCTGGAGCTGCATCAGGGAGGCGCTCGTGTATCACGAAGTGCCTCTCTACCTCCGCCGCATAGTCGGGGCATATTTGTCGGAGAGAGCCGTCGTCTACCCCAGTAGGACCGGTCTCGGTAGGCGTGAAATGTCGTGCGGTGTTCCGCAGGGGTCGGTGTTAGGGCCACTCTTGTGGAACATCGGCTACGACTGGATGCTTCGTGGTGCCTTCTTGGATGGTGTCGCCGTCGTGTGCTACGCGGACGACACACTCGTGACGGCGCGCGGCAAGACGCACCACGAGGCAACCCTGAGGGCCACGGCCGGGGTTGCCCAAGTCGTTGAGCGTATCCGGCGGCTGGGTCTCGAGGTGGCTCTGCACAAGTCCGAGGCCCTGTTCTTCCACGGGCTTCGGAGGAAGCCGCCTGAGGGATCTAGCCTCATGGTAGGAGGCACACGCATCGGCATCGAGCCCTCGATCAGATATCTGGGGCTCGTACTCGATGGCCGATGGAACTTCGGATATCATTTCCGAGGTCTGGTCCCCAAGTTGGTTGGGGCAGCGCGTGCGTTGGCGCGGCTGCTGCCCAACATGAAGGGACCCGATGACTCCTGCAGGAGACTCTACTCGGGGGTTGTGCGGTCCATGGCCCTTTACGGGTGCCCGGTATGGGCGGGGGCCCTGAGGGCCAGCAACGTCGCGATACTGCGACGACCGCAGCGAATGCTGGCCATCAGGATCATAAGGGGGTTCCGCACGATCTCCTTTGAGGCAGCGAGTCTTCTGGCCGGAACTCCACCGTGGGACCTGGGGTCGAGAGCCCTTGCGGCACTGTATCAGTGGCGCAAGGAGGCGCAGGAGTTGGGTCGATGCCCCGAGATTCGAGAAATCGATGACCGGAAATCCCAACTCCGCCAGGTCATCATAGGGGAGTGGAGGGAACGACTCGGGCAACCGAGCGCTGGGCACGCCGTCATTGCGGCGGTAAGACCCGTTATGGAGGATTGGCTCGAGAGGCGTCACGGGACCCTCTCATACCGATTGACGCAGGTGATCACTGGGAAGGGATGTTTCGGAGATCACCTGTGTCTGATCCGCAAGGAGCCAACGCCTGAGTGCCACCACTGCGATGGCCAGACCGTGGACACGGCTCTCCACACGCTGGCAGAGTGCCCGGCGTGGGTTGAGCAGAGGCGAGACCTCGTGGCGGCCATCGGAGTGGGAGTTCTCTCGCTCGATAGCCTGATTGCGGCTATCGTGCGGAGCGAGAGTGCGTGGAACTCTGCCGTCTCCTTCTGCGAGCAAGTTATGCTCGCGTAGGAGACGGCGGAGCGGGACCGGGAGAGGTTTAGAACTCTCCCGGCCCGCCAGGCCCGGGCACGGGCCAGGCAGCGCAGGCGACTCAGGCGCCGGAGGTCGCAGAACGACCTCCATCCTCCTCCATAAGCGCAGGCCTGGGGGTGACAGGTGAGGCCATCTGTCACCCTAGCAGAAGCAGGCCGGGGTGGCGGCGAGCGCGTTGCGAAGCGCGCTCGCTTCCAGGGAGCACAGGGAACATGGGGTTCCCACACGGGGCGGGGGTCGTCTACTCGTCTGTAGATGACCCGAGGTATGTCGGGGCACCAGGGCCTTCCTTTCTAGGGTATACCTGGTTCCCCGGCTATTAGTACCCGGCGAAGGCGTGCGGTTTTAGTCGGTTCGAGTCCGACATGCCACCGACAGGTGGTATCCGAGGGGATTTCCGAACGGAAAAAAAAAAAAAAAACAAAAAAAGGGCTATAACACCCACGTCAATCACTTATCAGAGACTTGTCATATAACAAAAGAAAACTTTATCTTGGGAAAATAAAGCTTATATAATATACATATGTATGTATCAAGTTTACTACGGTAACGAAATAATATTTTACACGTTGTTACTAATAAAAGACGATTTAGTTATTTTCTAAGGTCAAAAACTTTACTCATACAAATAAATGATGATGGAATACAAACAAACATACATATATACACTGACGGCTATTTCTACAAAGATGAAGAGATGCATACAACACCCATATTTTGTCAACTATAATTTTAGCTAACGTAAAAGGGCAAAAACCGCGCTAAACCCGAGCGCCAATAGGCATAGCCTATTAAATTGCATAGGCATAGCCTATTGCCAGTCAACCGGACACTTTAGGGATTAGATGAAAAAGTCGGGAGCTAATTGAAAAGAAAGAAAGATATAAAGGAATGGCAATGGTAGGAAAATGATATTGCTCAAAGGGTTAGATTAAGGAATGTTAACAATAGTTTAAGTAGATCAGGATCACAAACCTGTAACCTGAATTGGCTACTGTTAGAAAGTCAGAGCCTTTTCACGGTATGAAACATTGTAAGTGAAAGAACAGCTTCATTGAATGTTTGTTAGAATAGAAGGATCTTTTAAAGACTGTTGATGAGCAACTCCAGTACTTTAGTAATGACTATGAACAGAGGCGGTTTAAGTATTACGAGCGCCCTAGGCAAGCATCCTGCATTTTTCTATCGCTCACTAGTTGACGTTATTAAATGTGTGATAGTGATGATACCATTTTTTTTACTATAACTTTTTTATTTAACTTTTATACTACTATTTTATTACTTATACCGCTCATAGGCAGTCTTCCCACCAGGGTTTGCGGTGTGGCGGTGTATTGGAATGGAACCGACTAAAACCACACGATGTGTAAACTGCGCGAGATAGGAGAGATCCGATAACAGCTTTTATGACGACGCGACGACCGCACCTTCTTTTCTGGTGACAGGTAGCTTAACCTGTCACCCACAGGGTTGCACTTACGCAGGACGAAGGTCATTCAGTGACTTAAAGCGCCTGAGCCGCCTGCAGTACCTGGCCGGGCCTGGCGGACCGGGAGAAGGTCTCGCTGCTATGGCTACAATCATGGTACCCACTATGAGGCTGAATCCCACAGGTCGCTTCCTCCGAGGCCCATTAAAGAACAAGGCCTCAGATTTGTGCAGACACTTAGCCCTAAGATAAAGTAGGCACGTGCCTAGCTACTTTATCTTAGGGAAAATCCGCCACTGACTATCAATCAACTTTCACTTTTTTAAAGTGATTTGCAAACCAGAACATTATTGTGTTTTTAAATTATTGTGAATAGAGTGATAGAATTTGTGTGCAATAGTGATGAATCCGCTGATTCAGCAACGATAGTGAATGTTAGGGTTTTCAAAAATTTAATAAAGAATAGGCATGCGATAGTTCAGAGTAGTAATTAAAAAAATTGTGCATCGCAAACATTTATACTGTAATTAAAAAAAAAATTGATAAAACAACACATAAAGTGCTAAGTAATAGTGCAGTATGAATATTTGGCAATCTATATACTAATAAATATATCATATATATACGATACATATAACATATATATCATATCGATCACCATTTGCTCTATTTAGTGTGACCGTCGATATAACCCAGACAGTGAAAAGAGGGCAACAGTGAAAAGATAAAACAAAGAGTGTACTAATGCACCAAATGACACGCAAATAGTTTTTTCTCTTTTCGTCATAGTAAAGCTAGAACTACGGTTTGCTTCTCAACTATTCTGCAGTATACTTTATCCATACTTTATGACTGTTTATCCACTTTGGTACGCTCTAAAGTCTGTCATCAATTTGTCAAAATTCCTATCAAAACCTCGATCTCTCCAAAAATCCAATCCAATATCCACGCAAAAATCTGCAAACACGTAGCCTTAAACAAACTAATTCAGAGCATTTTCCAGCACAGATACGTTGATAACCTATCTTTCATCAGCGCCATTGTTACCGAGATTTAAGGCGCTCACCGCCGATGCCTTTAATTGTGATACCTCGAGTACACGTGCCCTTTGTGTCTTTGTAATTACTTTTATAAATCTACTAAGCGATTTACATGATGATAACGATCGGGTTAAGGTGGAGGAGTCATGCATGAGGTGCAGTAGTGGTTTATATGGTATAATTTTGTTTATAGCGGTGCTTGAAACGGTATACACGTGAACTTAAGATATAGATATCATTTTTGTTGTTCTCCAACAAAAACCAATAAATTAAGAACTTTAAGACGTGACACATTATTCAATCAGCTGGAATGAATTTTTAAATTTATAGTTTTTTTCTATATAATTTCGACTGGTTACCGTAAGTAACAAATCAACTTCAGTCAATCTTATACTCTATCTAATAGAACATAAAAGAGTAGTTACTGTATTCGTTGCTTATGTTTTATATTTTCTTTGTTTACAAATTTTTGGACATCAGCTTAGCGGGTTTAAATATGGTCCAACGATATATCTTGTATGTATTTGCTAAGGTTCGAAAATGATAAAAGCATCTTTTTTCTTTTAACAGAAAAACTTTAGTTAAGCGCTGAAACTCAAACGAAACACTTTTTCAAACGAAGACTCACTAGAAATGTCGCGGTGTCTTATGACTCCCAACAACTTTACCATAATAAAGAAACCTCCGTTTAAGAAGAAAAATAGTAGATAGTTGCGACTGATATGTGTTTTTAAAATGGGAGAGCTAAGTTAAGCTAATTTTTCGTCGGTTTTCACCGAGAGAGAGATAGAAGTTACTAGAGGCCCAACTCATCCTCCAATTTCTGAGGAGGAGGAGCACTCAAAGACCAGCAATGCACTTGTGTCTCAGTGTGTGAGGTGAAGGTGTGCACTTACCATAAGGTGATCTGTCTGCTCGTTTTCCCACTTTATAATAATAAAAAAACAACAGTAAACCCCTTACCACGAGTAAACTCAGGTCATCCTAATAATTGTAAAAAAATCATCTCATCCTCACCTTTCATCTTACTCTGACATCTCAGCTGGTCAATGATACTGGTGAGCCTGTTCTCCCGCTGATTTCCCTTACTCATCACTTCATCACAATCCTCCTCCATCTTCACAGATACATCACTTTTCACTTCACTCACGTCCTCACTACACTGCACTTTTGATGTCGGCAACTTCGATTGGATGGCTTCCATGCTGTGTTATCACTTATTTATTTAAAACCTTTTCGTGATGGTCTTAAAAAAACTGGGGTTTCAGTAAAATGGACCTGCAAAAGAAAACAACTAAATTAAATTAAAATTGCTGTAACGTGCCTTTGCAATCTCACCGGCGTATTGTAACGCACATAAGGCCCTTTATGTAAACGTTGCCTCAGCTACAACTGTTTGTATGTTATTATTACCAATAATATTTTATTTTTAAACAAATAAGCAGGTTTCTCAATGTAATAGTAAGGCACACCACCTCAATTACTACTTCAGCTTGGCTTGGTAAAAATAAATCGGAAAAAATCATATATAAATTAAAATGTGACTTAATAAATACTTAATCTTAATAAATTATCTTAATACTAATGCTTTATTTATAACGCATTATATTAATCAACCTTGACCTAGAATGTACCATAAACCAGATGCGGGTTTTTGCATTAGAAATATGGAAACTTTCCAACTAATATGCCTGCTGTCGACAGTACCTACTAACACACTGCCTGAAAGAGTAGGTATCGGGAATAGTGAGGTGAGTACTCCGATTATGTGAGGTGTTGCGTTTTACCTCAAATTCGTCTGGTCACCGGTTGTGCTGGACCTAGGTCGAGCACTAAGTAATGACCAGTCTAGATTGCACTCTATTGCGTGTGAGTTAGAGACCCCACAAACGTTAGATATTATTATTTGTTGAACTAGTTTGAACAGTGGGAAAGTAGAGCTGAGTGTGAAAAGTTATCTCCCTTACTGTATCGGCGATGTATACCTTTTATGGATATAGAAAAGAGAGAGAGTGAGATGAGGGACGAAAGATAATTTAACTTACTGTAGCAATTAAAAACAATCTTACGAAAAAACGGTAGTCTTTTCCACTTTCTGGCTTCAAGGTTCATTTTCAAACCACGTATCTACTTGTAACAACATATGTGACCTCTTTTTTAGTTTAAGTTCAAGTAATGTGTGTGCAGAAACTATCAGGCAATTTTTGATAATATTTATTTATTATTATTTATTTATTTATTAAAAACAATTACAGTATTATCGGTGAATATGTAGGATAATTTGTTTCTATTTGAATTTACAAATGACAATTATATGTACATGAAGAAGTTATCTGTTTACACCAAGTGTATTAAGGTTATTGACATGCCAAATGTCTTTAAATACTGAAACATGTTGATTCTGTTTTCAAGCAATATAATTTAATCCTTGTTTTTCCTTTATATCTTGGGCAGGATATAATTCTAGCTCTTAGCGATATATTGTACTACACTACGCAATACCATTACTAATATTATAAATGCGAAAGTGTCTGTCTGTCTGTTACCTCTTGGTGCAAGTTTTTGTAGGAAATCAATAACTGCTGCACCGATTTTAATCAAATTTGGCATGGAGAGATTTAATTCTTGAGAAAAGACATAGGTTTTTAACGCGAAAACTGGCATACACGCGGGCAACAAAAGCTAGTAAATACATATTTTAAATAAAAGAAAGAATCACGGTTGCGATGTAGTACTGTTTATTCGACATTATTACATAGCAAAATAGAGGGAGTATGTTTGGGCTCAGGGAACCTAACTTATTTTGTGAAAATCAACGAAAGAAAGGCCTTACACTAAATTTCTGTGAGTGGAGCTGGCCAATGCTTCCCCGAGGAACGGAAAAAATACTTATATACAAGTCAATCCGCTGTAAAAATTATTATATATGTTACTACCTAATATTTTAAAAAGGTAAGGTTTGTGAGTTTGTATGTTCGGGGTAATCTCAGGAACTACTGGTTCTTACTTAAAAATTATTTTACTGTTGGATAGCTCTTTCATCGAGGAAGGATATAGACTGTATAACATTATGCTAACACCAATAGGAACCGAGTATAAATAAAAATTGTTACTAAAACGGGGACAATTTATTCCTTTTCAGAGAAGCAGACAAGCAGGTTAGCTAGTACGAGTATGTTATATATCCATGTTCCTAGAATTGAAAAATTATAACTTCAAGTCATTACTAAGAATTATATTCATGGACGTATTAAACGGCGTTATCTAAATAGCGCTTTGTAATAAGTCTGCCCACAATATGTCCCTTGTGGTTTAATTTTAACGAGCAGACTCCTAGACAAATATTAAATAATCTCCTAGACTACTCGGTGTGTCACTAGGAGAAAATGCGGCGTCAAAGAAAACGAAACTTAACTGTTTGTGTAAATGTTACGAATTTTGAAGTCATAGAGTAACTAGAAGATTCTTAAATATCAGATGATATAACTGTATGAATTAAATAAAAAAAAAACGGTATCTATTATATTTTACAAATTAAATTAATAATTTGTATGTCTCCAAAGACCTCACTTCGAGACATTTAAACTGCTTAAGCTTTAGCGAGAAAATACACTAAGACTTATATAAGAACAGTAAATGTTCTAGAAAGGATCAATACCGGCAGATAGCTCATTAAAACCCTCTAGTCCATCATAACTAAACTTATTTTTAAGAATAAAAAACTATTTTCCAGGTAATGATAACTTTCTGTTATACGAGTAAATATACCCCTACTTATCATACGGAAGTAGATAAACCCACCTAAATATCGAAAATTCACATAACTTCCACCATGCACGCAATCCGTATTCACTTGTCACTTAATAGAATAATTAAAAAATCCGGAACAAATACCATCGCGACCTTTTACGTCACAGAAACCACCATTAACAAAAGATGAGCAGCACTAAAACTCAAACGATTGCATTCTAATTTTAAAAGTAAAACGAAAACAGAGTTTTCATGAAAAATTATTTAAAATAACAGTTGAAAAGGTGTAAACAGGTAGACTATGACGCGCCGGTTATCGCAGTACACTGATAACTGTATGTCAGGTCAAACGAGCAAATGGGGCGTCACCAAGGTACGTCTGATAACACTTGATAAGGGGCTCTTAACCTTCCAACTGTACTCCACTGGAAATGGTGTCATCGGTGTAAATTAAATACATACTATGTGGTTGCTGTTTTTTTTAATAGACCGGTACGTCATATAGTTTTGCAATGTTTAGTAATGAGTAACGACACAAAAATTATATTAGATATTATTTGCATTTATTTTAACTTATGCTTTCTTGTAAAATCGACTTGTTTTGCTAATGGAATCACGGAGCATTATTGATAATAAAACTTTTGTTAGTCTGTTATTAGACACATCATTTATTGAATGCTAAATAAAATAAGGCTTCTGTATTGTATCAAAGTTCCAAAACGGACGGACGGACCGTAAGTCAACAAAGGTTTCGTGAGCGAGCGATATTAGTAAATTGGTTCAGAGAATTGAATCACGAAGCCTCGTGAATATCAGCTGACACATATTAAGAGAATTTCTTTATACACAAGAAGAGGTTCTGAATTCCAACAACTATTGTCTCGTTGTGTGGATGTTATGTGTCTTCGCCGTTAGTGAACCGATTTCAATAATTTACTTTTTAACAAAATTTTATTTACTCGATGTTGGTCATCATTCATTTTCAGCTAACGCAACGAGGCGCCATATTTTTTTTCCCCGCCTGTTGATCTAGTTGTGTTTTTGATTACTGAGCCAGATGTCGATGTCTGATTTAATTTCCACCCAAGATAAATAATTATGTGATGAACATGATCATTTTCTGCCTTTTGATGTAACTCAGTTATAATATGTATGTATTTAGAAATATTAGTAGGTAGGTTTATCACCAATCTTGTAACCATCGTACAGGCTCTATCTATTTTGAGATCAGACATTGGTGTGGGTGTGTAAAAGTTGTGTAAGTTTGACGGGCCTGTTGGTTTAGTGGTTAGTGACCATGACTGCTAAATCGGAGGTCGTGGCTTCGATTCCCACCCAGGACAAATATTGTGTGATGAGCACGGTCATCTGTTCTGTGTCTGGGTGTAATTTATATATAATATAATATGTATGTATTTAGAAATATATAAGTATATTTATCAGCAGTCTGATAACCATAACACAGGCTCTGCCTAGTGTGAGATATGTTATTATTATTATTATATTAAGGTGTACAAAGTTATGATTATTTTATTCCTATTTTTTAAAATAATAAAAAAAAGTTTAGGTCTCGGTGTCGATAAAAATACCTTATAATTAATTCTGTCAGTGTAAGGATAGATAACATAACTAGTTTAGTTATATGTTTGTCTGTATAGGTAAAGTAAATGACATATGCAGTTGTGAACCAAGCAAACATTAGCGCGACTCGGCTGGTCATGTAGACAATTGATAAGGATAACGATACGAACGGACAAAGGAAACTCATATCACTTCTGAACAAAATCAGCCGATAACGGTGTTTGTAGCAGTCGAGTGTTATGATTGCATCGAGCTAATCTGCTCGTGGAATACAAGGACTATTGGAGGTAAAAAAGGTAATGATGGTATCGGGGGGCAAACAAGCAGACAGTTCACCTGATGCTAGTGCTTCTCAAGCAACATAAGTGCGTTGCCATCCTTTGAGTACCCAGTTATTGGGAGGGGGGAGGGGTGTTCTGTTGGGCCTGTGGAACGTTTTCGATCAATCAAAATAACGAAATATTTGCTTTAACATCGGTTTTCTAACGTCATCTTAATCGACTCAGACAAGACACGTCGACAGAACTCACTTTTTTTTTTCAGAGAAGTTTTACTGGTTCTGAATTTGAGGTTTTCTGTAAACTAAATCAAATAACACACACATTTTTAGCACCTTATCCATAAGGTTTGTGGGGATATTCGAAACAGCTGTCACAAAAATTAAAGAAAGCGGTGATACATTGTCAACAGCAATTAATATATTTTTAAATGATTATAAAGGTACTCCATAACGAACGACAGGAGTAGTACCGTCTAAACTTATATTGGTGGGGAAATAAGGAATTGATTTAGTTTGTTACGATCACCGCCTTTAGATGAATCTATGACGGAAACATTGAACAACAGAAAGATGGGAATTAGGAATGGAGAAAAGGTTACGGTTAGAGACTATAAGGAAGGAAGGTAAGTCATCGGTTCAAGGTGTTGTACTATCGGAGTTAGTGCCAGGTTTTACATATATGATAGATGTGGAAGGGGAACATGGAAACGCCATGTTGATCAAATAGTGCTCTGTTCACAATGTGATTATATTTAAGAGCAGTTATTTAAGTTATTATGTTGTATTATAATTTAGAAGCAGCGTTTATGTTTATTATAAGTTGGGGAGAAATTGAGATATCAGATTGGTTTCCGGACAAATGCTTCTTCTGTCATGCACGGCTGTCTCGCTCTTTACTTTTTCTCTCGCTCTTCTCGTGTGGCGTACTGTCGTTAGAAGTTAGGAGTGCTTTTTTAATAAATAAAGAATATATGAAAATTGTCTTTTTAAATTTATCGGTTATCGAGAATATTTTTAATTTTAAAATTTTCCAACAGCTACTAAAGACCTAAAACACTCGCCCATGTCAATCTTGTATATTATTGGAGATGTCATCTCCGTATGTGAACAGAGTTGGCAGTTGGCAGGCACCTGGTACAGTGACGTCACAAGCTAATTTCGGCGAGACGAGGTCGTGACCCGACGCCCTGCGCTCACACAAACAGAATACGAGAAATAACGACTTTGTACCAAAATTTGGACTGTGATATAAACATAGAAATTTTAGAGTACCTGGTATTAAAAATTTATCCATTGCGTTATATATTTTTTTTTTAATATGAAAAAGTGTATAACCCGAAACAGAGGTACAGGGAGTTACAAATGCAGTGGTTTAGGCTTGATTAACATGGCGTATCATAGTGAAGGACCATCTTTCAGTCTAGTGGATCAGGACCTTCTTCTTCTTTTCAAAAGACAAACCCGCACCAGGAATACATCCTGTGTCGCGTGGGACTTTACAAACATTCATGAAACGGACACAAAGAAAACCCAGACTTAGTACAACAGTTTGAGAATCACACAAAGTGTTGTGCCATGTGGGGAACCCACAACACTCAGCGCAGTAGAAAGCGGCGAGGTGACCGCCTAAGCCACTACGCCATCCGTGCAGTCATTCTATCATAACTGACCCTAACTCTAATCTTGCAAGTAAACACCATTGGTATCCCTTTATTAGTAGTTAAAAGTACTATTTATTGGTTTTGAATTAATTAAATGTATGGCGACATCATTTTCATTATGTAACTTAAAGTACATGAATTTGATATCCGATCTGATGTCAGGTCGGATAATCAATTTAGGCCGGATGACGAAAATTCCATAGCCTTACAGAAAACCCGTGTTAAGTTCTTCTTTCATCGCTTTTGCTTTTTATCTATGGAACCAGTTTTCCGAAATAAATTATTATTATTTTCACCGAATGATTGTAGGGAGAAAATACACTTTTTAATAAAAAAAAGGGCACTTAAAGGGCGGCAACGCACTTATGACTCTTGAGTTGCAGGCACCCATAGGCGGTAGTAGTCACTTACCATCAGGTGACACAGGGAAACAGGAGAAAATATTATGCGATGATCTATGGTCATTTCTTTTGTGTCTAGGTGTAATTAACTACAATATTTACGTATTTACTAAGATATGAATATGTTTATCAGCAACTGCTAAAAGCAGAATCAGTACTGTGGTTGATGATGTATATGATGATGTATATGAATATCTCACACATCTCATACACGGCCGTCTGATCCCAAAACTAGGTCGAACCTGTGCTATGATGACCAGACTGCTGATAAACATTCCTATATATTTTTAAATAGGTACATATTATAGATAAATTACACCCAGACACATTGCTTTAAATGCGGCGTTTGACCTATTTTAGATATTTACACAGCTACAACTTCCTCTGTCTCCTATCATAACATTTCAGGATTATCATAACGTAGTTAGTGTCTTAGAATAAGCCACGATGGGGTTAACATATTATTTAGTAATAAAAGCCTCTAAATATATGAAGAGTAAAAAAAGAAAAAAGTACTATGGTAAACAAACTTGTTTACCACTTGTTTACTAACTCTGCCTTGATTGGGATCGGTAGGTCGTGTGAGAAGTATCATAAAAGAAGATTTTTAGTCGCCATTGTAGCCGCCTTATTACGAGGTAATTAGGAAATATTTGGCCGAATTCGCCCCATTTTTTTATTTAATACAATTTTTATAACCTACTCATAACTGAAGTTGCTGGCACGCGTCCATGTTACGTCGATAGGCGTTAATCTAGAAATAGCTAAACTAAGGTTATGACCTGTCACCTTGATTCTTATTGCTCGGACTCATTGACGTTATAAAAAACATTATTGTTATGTACTAGCTGTACCCTACCACGCTACTAATGCCGACAGAAGTGAAAACTTGAAAATTTAAACGTTTTTAATTATAACAGGTTTTTTTTCGATTCGAAAAGTTCCGATATCAATATATATATATATATATATATATATATATATATATATATATATATATATATATATATATATATATATATATATATATACATGTATATATATATATATATATATATATATATCTATATTGTAGGTATATACACAATATATGTTTGTATTATATATAGTTATATTATCAATGTATTTCAACACTAACTCAACTCTCGTGTAGACGGGGCCAAAATATGTAGATGTACTTATATACAGAGGTGTCGGTAACGGTAACATTGTCGCGAGTTCGATGGGTTTTTTCCAATCTCAAAAAATACATTCTTTTGTTTTTTGTTCATAAATGCCCAACGCGCCTAACGAACTTTTCATTTCAATTAACGCAACAAAAATGATAAAAACAATCTTTGAAGAGGTTTGTATAACGTATCAAAGTTTGAGCTCTATCGGTGCAGTGCAGGTGCGGTTTTTGAAACGTACACAGACCAACTTAACATTTTTATATATACAGATGAAAATGAAGTTCTACATACTCAAATCATTATTAGTTTCTAAGGAGAACGCAGGCATACGAGAATTTTGCTCGTTAGAATTTACCCTGGTCAATATAATGCGGAGTCTTTAATAACGTAAACCCATCAAGTTTTTATAAGTCTTACGTTCATAATTAGACAACTGTTGGCTAAGTTATTATTATTAGGCGTTCTATTTAATAAAATACAGGCAAGCATTGCTTTAATATGATATCAAAAAACAAACAAAATAATTTAGTATTTTTTTATCTGTTATTTATTCGTTTCCTTTTATTTTCAGTGTCTATTAACGAATTTTCGTATAAACCAAACAAAATGAAGTTTTGATTTTTTTCCTTTTAGTTTTTACTTTATCAATAACTTAATGACATCACACAATTAACAGCTGAATTATAATGGAGAAGGGTCACCCAAGATTGGCAACAGCGGTAATCGTTGGATGAGACCTTTGCTAATAGGCAAATCAAACTAAGAGACCTCTATAGTTTATTTTATACTTCTATATTAAATATAGTATAAAAAATGTGTTTACTCATTTCATAATTTCATTTCATTTCAAAGTAAGCGCTTATTGGTAATTACTGCTAATCGAGTAGTTAAAAATAATAAAAGTCTCGTAAGTCGCAACCTAGTTATTTTAGAGTTAAGTTTTAAGATTTCAGATTAATGGTTAAGGCGTTGGACTTGCGATCAAGTACACTGACCAGGTACACTACCGATGTGAACTCACTCCTAACACAAGCAATTTAGCTTAGCGGGAATACTAGTAGCTTTGGTTGCTAGTAACCTTTTAAATTAAAAAAAAACTTTATTATCTAATTTGAAAACCAACAACATTGAAAATATTGGAAATATTTTTTTCTCTAATAAATAAATGGTTCAATAAATGAATCTGGACTTTGAGAACTATTGCAAGTAGTCATAGCCCAGATTCACATTGAATACACTTATACACCGGTTGCAACATGGCCTCATATTCATCGAAAATTCAGATGCGAACTGCCGTGGGTCCACATATATTTGACAATTATATTATTACGTAGGCATTTTCCCTCAAGTAAAATTTGCTAAGTGCATATACTTCACGCGCCAGCGTTCCAAATAAATAACAACCTGCATAATCATGTTCTGAACAAAAAGCCTTCACTGAGTCAGTACCAGTTAACGTAACAATACAATTGTTCAATGCGCCAACTAGTGTTTTTTCGATTTTTCATACATAACTTTGCAACTCAGTACCGCAGAAGAACTAACAAAATGAACATAGTGCTCGATTTTAAATCGGTTGGTTGACATTTTTAATATACTCGTTAAAAAAATCTTCATTGCAGCCAATATCTGTGATTGAATAAAGTAAAATGTGGTCATAAATAATTAAGTTAAATATTATACTGTATAAATAAATCTGAGTGTAAAATGGAGAAGTTTGTATGTAGGTTTATACAACATCGTAAGCTCATTGTATTTCTGGATTGTGGAACAATACATGTTAATTTATACAACTGCATTTTGTACATCATAAATAATATATTATTTAACTTTTAAGAGACATTGATAATAAATATCACAGTCACATTCATCCATTTATTTTCTACAGGTTTTGCTGTTTCAGCTATTTTATCAAATTCGAAATACCAGCTGTAGTTACCATAAATCCTTTGACCAACATTTGGATAGTCAATCTCAAGAAAATGACTCTGAAGCGGATGAAGGAGAAGAGTACCATCACTATAAGACATCAAATCGATATCACAATTATGATTTTGAAAAAGATAACAAAATTCCTTATAATTATGATGAGTGTAATTCGTGTGCTTGCCAAAAATGCGATAACCCGCCCGATTGTTGTAAAGAAGTGTGTAAAAGTTGTTCGAAGCCTTCAGAACGGTTGTCAGATATACAGATGATGGCATTATCCCAAATGCCACAGTTATCTATGGCAATATCCCCGGAGTCACCAATGACATTACATCAGATGCTCCAAATGTCATTAGGACAAAATTCAATGTCAGAAATGCAAATGCCTCAAATGCAGGTTGCACAGATGCAAATTCCGCAGATGCCGATGCCTCAAATGCAAATACCACAGATGCAGTTACCAGAGATGCAAGTTCCGCAGCTGCAGATGCCGGTGATGCAGATGTCACGGATGCCTTCGCCAGGACGCCAATTTTCATTTTCTGACCAGGGCCTCATATATTTCCCATTATCGTCTAATTTAATGACCTTTTTAAAAAACTACTCACTACCAGAGCTAACAGAATCTAAGGCGCAGCAAATTGATAATATTTCTACTACTGACATAATTTCAGCCACAAAAACGGTCACAACTATTTCAATACCTACAGGTGAAACGCAAACCACGACCCAAATTGCTGTCAGAGCTACAACTAAAGAAGATACAGAGATTCACAAGACACGCTTAAAGCAGATAGAAACTAAGAATATGTTAGAAGCAGCAATTAAAAACGCTCTGAGTGCTTTGTCAAATAATGTGAGAAAAACTGAAGACAAATCGAGTAGCCACTACAACAGATACGTGATGGCATCGGCGTTAAGAAAAACTAAACCAGTTATCTCAAAGATAGACTCTTTAAGGTTTGGCAATTTGCCTATCGCAAACAATATGGCTGAGAGCCTGATCCTTGAAACTCGTAATGCAAAAGGTATAAGACCTTGAAAATAATTCTGATACATATATATTTACATCGAGCAATTTACTTCGGTTTATTATGGCTATAATTGTTATACTTTGTTACTTTTATATTTCTTTAGGTGCTAATTAAGTACATATGTTATTTTATTGATGTGTTTATTTATATAGCCCTCATCCTTTAAGTAATACTAATTAAAAATATGTGGACAAGTGTGAAAAGACCACGGTCTCACAGGAAACTGATGTTAAGCAAGCAGGTTGTTGCTTTTCACCGAAAAGGGTGGAGGGTCCAACTTCAATGGAGGGGGCACCCAAAACCCTAAAGCCACTTGAATTGCAAGTGTCATCTAGTTACAATCAGGTGATCAGTCTGCTAGTTTGAAAAGATAAGACACAAGCAGCTATTAAAAATAATTGTGGTTCGATCGTGTTTAGCGGCGTATAAATTTTAAAAGTATATAATTATTATAAATTAAGACAAACCATGCAATTACGTTTTATTTAAGAAAAAAAATACTTCAAATTTACGTCAACAGCTATGGGTAAAAACTTATGTAAGCTGTCAGTTTATATCATCAATCTGAAAATGGTACCATGATAACTATGGGATGCTATACAAGATGAAGAATAAAATGTCAATATTACAATAATACAATGTTGTTCTATAATGTCAATATTTAAAAAGTGATATGCCCCAATTATGATACTTATGATTACTTATCATTGAATTTTCGTCATCATCATCATCAACAGTTATAGTCCACTGCTGGACATAGGCCTCTCCTTAGAAAGGAGGTTTTGGCCTACTATACTACGCTGACCAGACGGGTTAGTACTGGGTTCGTGTGCAGTTTTCCTTCACTTTGTAGTGCTGTTGTCCTGCGATGTTTGCTCCCTTAGTGAGCTTTTACTAAACCCACATAACGAATAGTGAAACTACGCATTTTTAATCCGTCACCTCACGAACCACCCCTTGTGAATTTTTGATCAATCCTAATATCAGTGTCTTTGTAATATGCTTTTTAAAGGAAAGTTTTCTCATTTTATTAAAATTTAACATTTCTTGTCCTAGATTGTAATATTGATTGTCTTTTTTTCACGAAGGTTACCATTGTGTTTTTTTGTAGAGAATTATATTCTTTAAATCGTTATTTCTAAAAATCTTTGTAACAATAGGTATTAATGATATGGTTCTATAATTATTCATATATTCTGTCATCTTTCTTATACATGATTTAAAAATGTATTATTTTAGGGGTATCTGAAAGTACAAGGTGTATTTTCAGATGCCATAAACTAAATCGTAGATGAACTAAATCATAGACAATTTTTTTTTGTCCTTTTGTTTATATCGTTGGTCCAAAACAACGACTTCAAAAAGAATACTGATGTGGTTTTGCAACACGGTGCGGATTGACCACGTACAATAAAGATATACGTCGATTTACACCATGCATGGTCCCAAACACCGATTTCAAAAAGCGTCCGTGTATGATTGGCACCACGGTCTGAACAGCTCGTGGTGTCAATCGACGAAGTACCCTCATTGCTATCGTTACTCAATTGGATATCCATCAAAAACTAATTTGTTTCCGGGAAATTCCGAGATTTAGAACTCTCCCGTTCCGCAGAAGACTCAATCGCAGGAGGTCGCAAAACGACCTACGTCCTCAATAAGCGCAGGCCTGGGGGTGACAGGTGAAGCCATCTGTCACCCTAGCAGAAGCAGGCCGGCTAGGCGGCGTGACGCGCTGTAGGTTGTAGAAGGGGAACACCGTGGTTCCCACACACGAGGGGGTCATCTACAAGTCATAGATGGCCCGGGGTCCGACGGGGTTCCAGGGATTTCCTTTCTAGGGTACACCTGGTTCCCCGACTGCTAGGAACCGAGACGGCGTGCTGTTCTTGGTCGGTCCATGTCCGACATAACCACCGGTAGGTGGTATCCGAAGGGATTTACAAACATTTTCCAGGCAAAAAAAAAGACGGGTACAGAATACTGCCGTTCTCCTTTAAAGAATGAATTAAATCAGCGCAAAATAGATAGATATGAAACTAACTAACGGATTAACAGGCTATAAGGCGAAACCGGTCAGATCAAATTAAATTAAACAGTAGAATATAGTAGAACTGAGTTTGATTTCATAATGTATTTCAACAAGTTCCACCAAGTGCCGACAATCAAGAGTATAAATTAATTTAGTTTAATATGAATCCAAATAGCTAAGATTCCTGTTGTTATTTTTAATTTTGACAGATTATTGATGGCCAAAGCTAAGAATACTAATCAAAACACATGGAAAAATATATCATGATTAAAAATAAATTTGTACTTTTTCGGCAAAATACTGTTTTTTTTTTTATATATGGGGCAACCCTTTACGATATCTGTCCACGGGGTTAGCCTGTGGACAGTTATCAATAGGCCCGACACGTATGCCGATACTCAACTCAATACAATTAAGTGAAGTATTTTTAGTGAGGTAATATAATTCAAAACTGCACCATCAATCCTCAACATTGCAAAAATAAACCAACTAAAGAACTGTACGTACACATATTCACTGAAAACTATGAACAATTACAATTGAGACTATTAAATAGCACAAGTTTAATCTACAGATATGCTATATACTTATAATTATACGATTTACAAATTTTAGAAGATAATAAATTATGAAATGATTTATAGTCTCTAAAACGTTGCCGTTTAATTTCTTCGCTTATGTCTACGACTTTGACGTAAGTGTATGTATGAAGTTTATATGTATGCAGGTAATATGAACCGCTTTTCATGATGAAACATCATATTGCTCTAGAATCTTATCAACGCTGTATAAAGTCGTATCTATAGAAGTTACTGTTTGAACAGTAGTTTGAATGCTATTATTTTAGCAATTAATACATCATGCACATTTGATGCATTGACAGACTTCATGCCTAAGGCATTCTCTACATGTCAATCTTATAGGTAAGTATCAAGACTATCTTTAAACTATTTTAAAAGATTACTAGACCTGTTACTGAAGTATTATATCCTTTATATGTATAAAACAAAGGAAACCCTATATGAGCCTCTCTGAGTTTAAGAATGGGACGGTCCTCAACTCCAAAGGTCCAACAGTTGTTTGATTTCTGCTAATAAGTTATTGAATGTTACATGTGTGTTACAATGTAACACAGAATTGCTTTTGCCGATAAGGTATGAGCGTAAGTGTTAAAAAAGCCTCAAAACCCCACTGGCAAGATACAGGATGGATGTGCAAATGATGCCTCGGTATACAAGCGTAAATTCGAAACGTGAAGGTTTCTATAGACTATGTGCGTGCTTCTACCAAAATTATACCTCAGGTTTACACATTTGTGTGCCACACTGTATAATTATTTTACTACGCCACTATTGTATTGTCCTCTATTGTTATCTGATAGCAAAGATTCAAATATTGGACAAGAAAATGCCAAGAACACAACAATGCAAATTGCGTAAAACTATTTCGCGGGCTTTTTTTTAGTTTTTTTCTAGTAGTGTAATTAAACAATTGTTCAATGGTGCGGCTTTTTTATTCATTTCCTTGTGACTCTTAGTGTTGTGGCAATGTATGCAGTGGGTGTATCAAAATGAGGACTGAATTTGATTTTAAATCGGTTAGTTCATTTTACTTTTAATTTATTTCATAAAAAGTAAGTAGGTATTTAACACGTTTGTTGTATGGGAGCCCCTCTACTTAAGGGGGGGCTCCCATACAAGAAACGTGATTTATTTTATTCTGTTTTTAGTATTTGTTGTTATAGCGGCAACAGAAATACATCATCTATGAAAATTTCAACTTTCTAGCTATCACGGTTCATGAGATACAGCCTGGTGACAGATGGACGGACAACGGAGTCTTAGTAATAGGGTCCCGTTTTGCCCTTTAGGTACGGAGCCCTAATAACAAATGACTTTTTCAGGTTATAATACCTACCTTGCCTAAGTTCATTTTTGTTAAATATAGGTAGATTGAGACGTTTATCTTTGTAGCAAACCATTAGATACAATAACGAAATGGAAAAAATAACGATGAAACAATCACTAAATTACTTTTTCAACAGGTTTTACTGCTTCAGCTGTTTTACTTACTGCAAAATGTTCGCTCAAAACATCACTGTTCTACCTGTCGGCATTCTGATGAGGATAGTCAATCTCAAGAAAATAACTCTGATTTAGACGAGATCCCAGTAGTGAGTATTGAGTCACCAATACCGATCAGCTTCTCTCAAGTGAACCCAATATCAATGACATTACCACAAATACTGATCCCACAGATGCCCATACCATCAATGACGATGACGGCAGGCTCATTTCCAACATCTTTGTTCCCAGGCCAGAGGCTGGTATTCTTTCGAATCCCATCTTCTTATGTAAATGTAATAAAAGCTATACTCCCGCCCAACCATCAGTCAGCTACAACTAAAAGTCCGGCCACAACTACTACCAGTACTGAACCACAATTACTAAGTAAAACTGATCCTCCCATAATTACTATGAGTACCGAGGCCACAACTACAACAACCACAACCACACCTACAACCTTGAAACCAAAAAAAGATGAAGAAGTCTTGACGCATGTACCTGCTCTTAGATTTAAAAATGAAAGCATCGAATTAGAAAATGTAGGAGATTTAAACACTTCAAGGACTAAAACAGAAAAAGAAGAAGGTATATTGGACTCAGTCCTCCAAAATATCATGAATGAATTTTCTGAACGTCTTTTAAATACGAGTTTAACGGAAGAGAATAATAAAGATTTTAATGGACGTCGACGTATGATGACAACTTCAATAAGAAAAACCAAACCGATATCAATCATATCTCAGCTTAGAATTCTTCCAATACCTGATAATATGGCAAAAGCACTTTTGTCACATTTACGAACAGTGAAGCATATCCCTACAGCCAGAAAAAAAAGAGCTGCTAAATTGAATTTGAAATAGTTGTTATTTTTTATTTATTATAAACGTTAAGATATTTTGCTTATGAAACTTGAACTTGATTAGAAATTAATAATAGGTACTTGCTTACCCGCTTCTGAAGAGCTTTAATAATATATGCAGAAAAGCAAATTACCTTTTAAATAATAAAAGGGCTCATTTATTATGTAAAAGGTGTGTAAAGAATTAGATCTTGGAACTAGCTAGAATAAAACGTGCCAGCTAGTTTTAAAACGTATCCTCAAAATCAAACCTCAGTTTGTTATTAAGACATTCTTTTAGTAAAGTAAAAAGTTTTCCATTTATGCAATATATTAGAACACTAGTTCATTAAGAAAACTCAAAAAAAACACGCCTTTTTAACAAGCCGAACTAAAAAAAGAAAATAATTCTCTATCGGTTCTAACCTAATAATTCAAGGGTTGACTTAAAAACCTCCACCGTTCTTTCGCCATGTCGGTTTAAAAATATATTGGATCTTACTCCATACAACTCCAACACATAAAATGTCATCTACAGTTTGGTTTATATGGTCGATAATAAAAATGTTCTAAATCTATAAAAGTTTTTATTGAAAAAAATATAAATATTTACAATTCATGTTATTCATTGTCACGATTAATCACGATAAAAGTAAAATATTTTCAAAATTTATTAAAATTGTAAAATGAAGTTCGTAAACGCTTCAAGATAAATATTTAAATGTTAGTGATTAAAATATGCTCATCTCCTGTCGTACCTTAACGTTTATCAACATATTACTGCTGTACTATGTCATAACAAACAGTGTAGCATATTATATGTACGAAAATTTGCCTGCCTATCATCATTTACCAGGAAATTTCAGAGAACGTAACAGTTTGCCATATTCTGAGGATGAAAACTCACAGAGTGAGAGTGGAGCTGTCTTTCAAAAATATGTGGAAATAAATAATTACAGTCACAGGCACAAGAAAAAAACACAATTACACGATGGGCAACACAGAAGATCTAGGCATGAATGCAGCTGCAGTAAATGTGATACAGACTACGAACATTGCAGGACAATGTGTGACGAAATGTGTTCTCAAAATTTCGTTCAATATCCTTTTATTCCAAATACTCCAAAAGTTATCCCATTACCGTATCCGGTACCAGTTATGATCCTGACCCAACGGGCTCCTGATGACACAATCTCAAGTTCTACGATTTCTACTATTTCTACAATTTCTTTGATTAATTCAAAAGAACCAACTGTAAAGTTAAAGCTTTACTCAACACCTACTACTACTCAACAACCACTTCCAGTTAGCACAACAATAAAGGTGAGAAAAACGACAAAAACAACAGAAGCGACTGAAACTTCATGTGAATATTTGGAAATGTCACTAGAGAAAAACCCCTCGAGTAGGGAAGAAATAGTACGTAGGGTAATTCCGGGGGAGATGGCCATACGGTAGAGATGGCCAATCGAAATATTTCATTGAACGTAGACTAGATGTCGCCAGTTACCATTTAGTTCGCTTCGCGATGTGTGGGTAAGCAAACGTGAAACAACATTTTGGCTAAAAAAATCCAAAAAGTAAGTAAAATCCTTGTCAATTGTTTTGTCTTATGCGTATATTTTTTAATGAGTTAATGTTTTCGATGATTGTGATGTCAGTTTCTTAGAATAATGGTTATTTTTGTATTTATGTCAAAGTACATAAAAAATGTGGCGATATAACCTCAAAATGATGCGTATCACATTTTTACTTGTTTATTTTTTTTGTGTGGCCATCTCACCCGGAAGAAAAGGAGAGATGGCCAGTTTGAGTCGGTATAAGACGGCCATATGGCCATCATACACCGACCGCATACTAATGATGTTTTCTTGAAATAATTTATTTATTTACATAATTGTTTTAGATGCCTAATACATACAAAAGAAAGGCTGCAGTCGTAAGAGGAAATTGGACAGAAGAGGCACTCAAGGCTGCTATAAGTGCTGTCAAAAATGATAGATTATCCGTACGTGCGGCAGCTAATGAGTTCAAAATTCCACGAAAAACATTGGAAAGGAGAATAAAGAAGAATAATGACAAAAAGGGGCCCATGGGGCCATCTTCTTTATTTGGGGAAGAAAATGAAAAAAAGTTGGCTGCTCATATCAAGTCTATGCAAGCCAAAGGTTTTCCACTGACAATGGATGATGTCAGAAAAATAGCTTACGACTTCGCGGAACAGTTAAAGTTAAAACATACATTTAACACAGAAACTGAGAAAGCGGGATATGACTGGTTGAAAATGTTTTTAAGAAGAAACACGGATATTAAATTAAGAAAGTCAGAAGGTGTCTCCTTGGCTAGAGCCAACGCTATGAATAGGTCGGAGGTAAACGCATATTTTGATCTTCTTGAAAGAGTCCTCATGGAAGACGATGAGATTTTACCAGCAAATTGCATCTTCAACATGGATGAGACAGGTCTACAATTAAACAGTCGTCCAGGACACGTGCTTGCTCAAAAAGGTTCCAAAGTAGTTCACACAGTAACATCAACTGAAAAAGGAGAGACTATAACTGTCATAGCTTGCTGCAATGCTGAAGGCACGTTTTTGCCACCGGCATGTATTATGAAGGGCAAAAATAAAAAGGCTGAGTTTGAAGATGGTCTGCCTCCAGGCTCAAAACTATTCATGTCACAAAAATCGGCGTATATAACTTCAGCAATATTCTTAGAATGGTTGAAAACCCACTTTGTCCCAAGAAAACCTGCTGGAAAAGTTGTACTTTTACTTGACGGACACTCAACTCACTGCAATTCCGTGGAAATGTTGGAGTTTGCTCATCAGAATGAGATTATTTTGATATCAATGCCGAGTCACACGTCTCATTATCTCCAGCCGTTAGATCGTTCGGTATTTAAATCATTAAAAACTCACTTTTATGAACAGTGTAGACTTTGGATGAAACAAAACTCAGGACGTCGCATAACAAGACTTTCTTTCGGAGCCTTACTTAACAGAGCTTGGGGAAAAGCAGCATCGGCGGAAAATGCAATATCTGGCTTTAGAGCAACGAGAGTATATCCTTTAAATCCAGAAGCAATCCCAGACTACGCTTATATTCAAGACCCCATACACAACTTGCCGAGTACTCCTATTTCACGAAAGGATTCACACTCAAATAATTCTGCAGTGGAAGATAATGATGACGTATTTATTCCAAGTACTTCAAATGAGCCAAATAGAGACCCTCGCTATAGCCCTGAAATGGTTCCCAGAAAACCGAAAACCTCATTGAATGCAGCTACTGTATCTAAGGTTTCAAAACCAAGCACTCCAAAAGAAGGTACATCCGGTAACATTGCAAATTATACTCCATCGCGGATTTTGCAGGAAATATCTCCTATTCCGCAAAAGCTTATTGAAGTTCGTAAAAGAGCAAAGCAAGTAGGTACACTATTGACTTCAGAAGAACATATCAATGCTAGAAAATGTGTTGCAGAAAAAACATTAAAAAAAGAAATTAAAAAGGAGAAAGAACCTAAAAAGTGCACTGTGAACAAAAAAAAGGTTATTCGAAAGCTGTCTGATAACAGTGACGATGTTCCTTTAAAAATTTTAGCTGAGAAAACTAAAAAACGAAAAACTAACGAAGAGGATAACTGTCGCGGATGTGGAGAAAACTATTATGAAACCCAGCTAATCGAAGACTGGCTTCAGTGTAAAGTTTGTCAGTTTTGGGTGCACGAGTATTGCACTGAGTTCGATGACTCGTGTTCAAAATGCGGGAAAAAGGAAAAGAAAACCAAAAATTACCAAAATAACTAGGAATAAGGTATGGCCATCTTACCTTTAATATTATGGCCATCTCACCAGGATACTCCGGGAGAGATGGCCAATTGTGATTTAAAAAAAAGTAATCTTTTAAGTGTGATCTCGTTATAATTGTTCCTATTTAGTCTCATATCCTCAAAGTTAATTGTTCAAAGTTTAATTACGAATAAATATTTTTGTACTAATGTGCGAGAGTTTTTTTTAATGCCGTTTTAGAAAAACTATGGCCAACTCCCCCGGAATTACCCTATTAGTCCAAAATTGCCAAATTTTAAAAAGTCTGCTCCAAATTTGTTAAGGGAAGCTTACGATACGTATCGATTAGGGAATTCAAAACAAACATTCTTCAGAACATATCGACCTAATTTGATTAGAAAAATGGTAAGCTATAGAAAGAGACCAGTAATACCATTTAGAACGGGCCCTACCTACCGTGTGACAAAATCAGCTTACAGAGGAATTCCATTATACAGAATAGTTCCTATCCCAGAAGGCTTGGCAGAAAATCTAGTGGAAAAATTTAAGGGTAAATCAGTAATTGTTCCGGGAAAAATACGACATTAATGCTTTGTAAAACTGTGAAATCTTAGTCTATTAAATAAATATTGATTTGTATACTCGCTGTGTACTGCTTAGTACTGCCTCCAAAACTAGCTCCTAACCGTTCAAAAGATCCTAATAGTGCTATTGAGGCGAAGGCTAGTTTTGATTGATATTCCATTGATCTCTCGATAAAATATGTCAATATGTCTCTCGATAAATTTAGGTCATAATAACGACAATTTTGATAAATGTATATTTAAATTAAGGACTTTGAAAATACGTGACCTGCTGTTGATGTGGACTTAAAAAATAAATGTTTTATATCGAAATCTCATGTTTCTCCTTTCGTGAAAATATAATAATACAATTTATCCCAAAAAATGTATTTCGAAATTGGTTATGGTACTCATATTAATCCTCTATTAAGTTGCAGAATGTTTTTATAAGGCCAATTTTTAAAGCCAAGGCCAAACTAGTTAAATGGTAGATTTTTCGTTTATCTGCTTTCTTTATGCAATAGAGAGTAAAAGAGCACACTGGTTACGTGACGGTGTTTGACTATACAGCACATGTACACCTGCAACTCGTGAAACACCTGTCGTTGCCACCCTTGGATTACTGCCCCCAAAACTGACAAATATCTCACATAGAATTTAGGCAAC